TAGTTTCGTTAACTCGCATATTAAGATCTCTCTGCGCGAAACTTGACGGTACAGTCAGGTTTCGCGCAGAGTCAAGTTTCGCGCAAACAGGACCTTCTTGGCAGACTGTGAATGTTATATATCATTACACTTTTTTTCAGGGACTACTCTCAAACAATTACCCAGAATGTTTCTTGGTTTCACCCGTCTGTTGGTTACATCATGGCTTCATGAACCAGCTGTTATTCCTATTGCTAACATTCTTTATGTTAATGTTACTCTTCAGTTCTCACCTGTACTAGTCCAGGCCTACGGAGTTCATCAACCTGCACAAACTTACATATTGCCATTTCCATTCAAACCTAAGACACCTTCCAAGATAAAAAGAAAATCGACAGACTTGATGTTTCAAAACCATCTAGCTGTAAGTTGTTTGACAGAATTTGTCGATTTGAACCATAACTGCGGTTATCTCACATTTGCCAACATTGGCGTGTTGGATTTTGGCTGTCCCAACAGAGAAAGAGCAGTAAGACTGGGAAGATCGAATAGAACCTCAAATTCAGGTAAGGTTGCTCATTTTATATATAGACTTGTGACCTGTAAAGTACACTATATAAGATTTTTTTATCAATACAATATAACAATACGACTTCATCATTTGTTATTCGTGGAAAAATGTTCCTCAATTATATCCAACAGAAATATCTATATGCTGTGCTATATCCTTTTCACTTTTTCAGAATTTGTCTGAAAATTGAATTTTTTTTTAGAATATCGAAAAAATTTAAGGAGAAATTTATTTTTCTTTTCGATTCTAGACATGGAAATCACGTTTCAATAAACAAATTTGATGTTTCATAAACTACATCCTTCGATTTGATCTTCAGACATGTTTTGCTATCATAACTCTACCAGACAACGCAAAATTGATATCCTTTGATGTGCAGAATCTATTTCCCAGTATACCTTCTGATGATACTACTTTAGTTATAGTATGTCTCAAACAAAATTATTTCCAATTCAATAACATTTATTCCTCTTCAAAAGGTTTAATTATGGGAAATCCGTTGAGCCTCTTACTTAGGAAATTTTCATGGATAAACTAAAGAAGTCAATTCTTGAGCATTCTTTGTTTGGGTATTTCTTGTATTGGCTCTTTTTCATATGGATATTTGGAAAATAAAATTTGTGAAGATCAAATCGTAAGGTGTAGTTTATGAAATTACTATGGATCTTCATCAAGTAACGACCGAATCATTTTCATGATGATAATCTAAATATTTGTCCTGGTTATTCATCATTATACTTGCTCTGATGCTAATAAAAGTGATTAAAAACCTCAAGTAATATAAGAATATCGCCTGTAATCAACATGTTCCTTTCACTGAAAATAAACTTAATGAAGTTAATATATGAAGAAATAAAACCAGTAATGGGTAATTCACACACCAAACTTTAATTTTTTCCTTTCACTCAAGACAGTCATCACATTATAAATCAGTGGGAAGATATATCACATTTTTTTAAAGATTCCTTAAAGTAAAATAATATACATGTGTTAATCGATACTGTGGATAACCTCGAAACTTGTAGGATCTAAAGATTAACTAGGGATTCCTAACATAATTATTCTGTTGAAACATTATATTTTATACTCCTTTTTCAACTCCGATATCAGGCAATTCAAATTCGAAAGATTTATTGGCACTGAAGAGAAACCAGGGTGTGTTCGGCGAGTCTTGGCTTACATCTGTCGATATAAAGGAGATGTCTCCTAGTGACTTGTCCACCTTCCTGAAAAGGACTGGACGATGACCTAGGAGGACAACTCCTCACCTATTATGAAATATGAAATGTTCACAGTTTATCAGTCGTGAAAAGAAAACAACTACTTGTGTATAATAGAAGACTTCAGACCATAGAAAATCATCTACATTAACAAAAATAAACTGTCAAATGATAGTAATATGTCATCAATTTGTCTCCAAATCTTAGAAATTGATGAAGACTCTAATTTGTATAGCTCTCTTCGATGTACTGAGTTCAAGCTATTATCCAAATAAGAGCTCTCAATTATTAAACTTCTATTTTGTCTGTTTTCCACTAGCTTAAAATGGGTATTTTATTGATGATGCATGTAAATTCTTTCGTTATTCCAACTGTAATATGGTTCCGCCAAAATAGGTATTCTTTCCATTAGAAAGTACTTTCTCAAGGTGTTCAATTTTACTTTGAGCTGAACATTCTGTCAGCTGCTCGTATGTCGGATTCATAAGTGATTAGTTGTTATTTNAAGTTTTCATGTAGTGAAAGGGTTCCTACTTACTTCAACAGGAGTTAGATCAACTTGATATTCAAGAAAGGACAAAACAAAAAGAAGTTCCTTCAGATCTGAATTTGAAAAATAGCTTGTCGATGGATATATTGACGAGTCCTTGCGATGAGAACATTAATATGTTCAGTAGGGAATTTGAGAAGGAGGAAAGTGTGAAAATCCAAGAGGACTTGTTGGTACACACAAATGACAATGGCAAAAATGAAGAAAGTAAATCTGAGGTGAGTTATTGAACATATGAAATTATAATTAGAATAATGAAAAGGTATTCATATTTATATTTGACAAGTTTTTTGTGATGTCTAATACTTTTGATAAGTAAATTAAAATTCAATCAAATAGTAAGAGGATATAACATATATAAAGTTGATGTAAACACTAGACATTTTCAATTGGAATTTGATCCCATCATCAGATAATGTCAAAACATCAGCAATTTTTACAATGATCGTTTTTTTTGTCCAATTGGCGACATCACAATAATTATTGAAACAGGGTTCAGCAAAGAAATGTCATTTAGTTCACTTTGTATATTTTGTTATTTCATTAATGTACGAGGGTTGAAATTGTATATTTATTGCTAAAACCATAAACACGGAATCAAAAGATGATGTTCATCATAATCAGTTCGGACTCACATTGTCTAATATAATATAAATTGATAACATGGCGGATTTTGTATCATTATTTTATTAAAATCCGTATTAATCTCCACTTCAGTGTAAAAATCCAGAAAAATTTTAGGATATCCTTTGAAAGCCATTTCGATGTTTCTTGCTGCTTTTGGGTATATTATCGGTTAAACAGGTCTAGTGCGTTCATCTGTTTCGTTGTTTTAATGCTTCGAGAGAAATACGTGTTCATTCATATGTAAATGGGTATTTTATTGATGATGCATGTAAATTCTTTCGTTATTCCAACTGTAATATGGTTCCGCCAAAATAGGTATTCTTTCCATTAGAAAGTACTTTCTCAAGGTGTTCAATTTTACTTTGAGCTGAACATTCTGTCAGCTGCTCGTATGTCGGATTCATAAGTGATTAGTTGTTATTTTGATAATGAAGAAATCAGGGTCGAGTTTTATTGGAGTATATATGTAGGTAGGTGGGTGGGTCCAAATTCAGTGGGTCTATTCGACCTTCCACTGGTTCATACCTATTCAAACTCGACCAAATAGATCCAGCCTCCTAATGAAGCCGATTATTTGGAGAATGATCCTTCAGGTGAGCTAGCAAGAGTGGGACTCTGCAAAACGCTGTAAATCTGATCCGATCCGCCGTGAGGTAGACTCAGAGTATGTGTTCTACCCGTTATGCTGTTATGTTGATTCACGTGATTATTTTTCTGAGAGCGAATTCAACGGAAAATATCTGATGAATTGCTTCAGTAGAACCACTCTAACTTTTCAAATAGACTATCGGATTAATCGGTGTAATCATCGATGAGTTCAAGAACTCGTATTGATAGTGAATACATCATTTGTTGTCATTTTTTGAACTTATTTCGAAAGTAATACATGTTTATGTGGTAGAGCATTTCCGACACAAAATATGAATTGCGCACGTGGCACATACGTATTTGCCTCTAAAATCCGGACACAAGTCGATTTTTCGGATTCCTACGTATCGCAAAAATGTTTATTGACAAATCATTGATTTTTCTGTGGATAGTATGAACCATGTATCATAACTATTTTTTTACAATTCATTTTATTACTTTGTATCAGTTTAAAATCACATCTACCTCAATAGTTTGTTAAACTTGGAAGGTTTTGTTATAGTTCTAGATGTGTCCCTGGTTATGTTTTCAACATAATACTTATTATAGAAAAAAATCATTTCATTCCACTTGAAAATACTTTCAACTTTGTACAATTTACTGAATAATCGCTAATTGATATATTATTCGGTTCAGAAATGAACCTAAAATATGGCTATAGGGTTCTCCAGTGTCAAAGTTTTAACGTTCGGACGTTTTTACTACTTAATGAAAGACCACTCTGATGACGACATAAATGAAAAATTAGACATTTGGTTCGGTGATGTCACCAAACAATCTAAGAAAAGGAAAACCGAAATACTTCTTAGCAAAATGAGATCTGAAGAGTTAACTTCCACTACTCATGTAAAATTGAAATGCGAAGGCAATACAGATGCTTCAGAAACTCAATTTTCATAGCGTGCCAAAAAAGATAGACAAACACCACTAGAAAATTAAAGCTTTTTTTAATGTTTGTTGAAGCAGGCCTAACAAGAAAGCAGTATTCAAGAGTCTTATGTTTGTCACAGATATATTAGCCACATACAATTATTAATACTGTCATAACTAGCTTTTGACCATAAAATGAATGTGTCCCGATTTTCTTGACAAATGCCTGTATGTGCGTGGGTGAAATTTTTGTTGCACATTTGTTTTTTTTCTTTTTCTTATTGACTGTACATATAACTTTATTATGGCCCCCTATTCCATTTAACTCCATTACTAGCATTATATTGATAGAATTTTCATTAACTATAAACATGACCCTCAGAATGAATTCCATCTGTTGGACAACATGTGATACCATTTCATCAAATCTTCCAATACCTCTATTGTTTTTTGTTTTTTTTTTCTCTTCTAGATAGAGTAAATAATTGAACCCAGTGAAAAAGTCGGGGCGTTATCTTTATATTTACTTCAGTTACACTTAACGGTAATTTTTAAATATAAAATTATAGCTACTTTTTTTCCCTAGGTTTTGCTAAATCGTCAAAAACCAAAACTGAAAACAACAATCAGACTGTGACTACTTCGATAGCTAATGAAAACTTCACCTTTAATCCAAATGAAAAATCCCCAAAATCAAAACTCCCAGACCAAAAAGGTGATTCAAAACTAGGATCTCAAGAAAATAATTTTGTTATAATATCTAAATCCAATAGTCCCTGTTCTTCACCAACTAATGGATTTTCTTGCCAAGAAGGTTCCTACTTACTTCAACAGGAGTTAGATCAACTTGATATTCAAGAAAGGACAAAACAAAAAGAAGTTCCTTCAGATCTGAATTTGAAAAATAGCTTGTCGATGGATATATTGACGAGTCCTTGCGATGAGAACATTAATATGTTCAGTAGGGAATTTGAGAAGGAGGAAAGTGTGAAAATCCAAGAGGACTTGTCGGTACACACAAATGACAATGGCAAAAATGAAGAAAGTAAATCTGAGGTGAGTTATTGAACATATGAAATTATAATTAGAATAATGAAAAGGTATTCATATTTATATTTGACAAGTTTTTTGTGATGTCTAATACTTTTGATAAGTAAATTAAAATTCAATCAAATAGTAAGAGGATATAACATATATAAAGTTGATGTAAACACTAGACATTTTCAATTGGAATTTGATCCCATCATCAGATAATGTCAAAACATCAGCAATTTTTACAATGATCGTTTTTTTTGTGCAATTGGCGACATCACAATAATTATTGAAACAGGGTTCAGCAAAGAAATGTCATTTAGTTCACTTTGTATATTTTGTTATTTCATTAATGTACGAGGGTTNCTAATTCTTTATTATACAAAAACAATTTTTCACTTTTTTTTTTCACAAACAGGTCTGGACCTTACTAGATTGTCATTTTGGGATCCCACTGTTTGATGTTAATGCAAATACGGAAATCTGTGATACAATTGTGTACGGAGGCCTATCGGAACCTAACAGGTAAAATTTAATTTTCTATTTCGATAAATACTCTAACCCACAAATTGTATTGCAAAATTGTAATCAATATTTTGTTTCTTGTAGTCTCGAAAACCTGGTTGAATCAAGTAGAAAGTTGGGGTCCCTCTTACTAGATTTCATATCACAATGCCAGGTAATTATCAGTATTTGAGTATTTTAACAAATGTATCACATGCATTACTTGCTGCTAACAACACTTGAATGTTTTCAATTCTACAGTACTATCCCGGTGAAAATATGGAGATTCTCAAACGTGGGCGACTGGTACCACTTCCTAGGCATAATCTTGTTTTTGATAATGGAAGAGTAAGTGAATGGACAGGAAAGTAAACTTTCTAGTATTCTCATTTTGTTATATGCAATATATAAAAGAAATTATGCTTTCGAGAGAACTTTTTGATTTATTACTCTTCAAATTATTCAGAAAGCATAGTTTTTCCAATTAATCTGTAAATAATTTTAATGCTTGTATAGTACTTACCTGTCAATCAATCAGTTGATTGGGATTCGTTATAACAAACTATGAAAACTTTATTAATTCTACATTCCATTGTCATACATTATTTTTTATTGATAATTTTAAGCCTCCATATTAAGTTAAGTTAGCTATTTTTAGAAATGTTTATATGTTTGTTATATTAGAAAATTATTCATTTTCATTCATTCATTCCACTCTATTCATTATATAATGTGTTGCTTCTAGTGATTTTGTTTATCATGAAAGTTTTATAATTTATTTCTGTATTAGTGAGAAATGTCAGGTTATTTGGAGAATTCTCTTTAGATTTATAGTCAAAAATTTTAAACCGCTTTAAATTTGAATAAAAAAACACTGCTTTCTTTTATAATTTTATTTTGAAAAGTGCGTTCAAAATATTTCTTTGAAGAATTGAAGAGTCTTTGTACTCATTCAGTTTCTATACCTGTAATGTTTTTATACTTGACACAAAAAGCCTTATTTATTCTACTGATAATGTATTAGACTCCTCATTTGTTATTTTGAACAAGTCAATTATGTCAATGCCAAATTACATATTATTGAATACAATCAACAAGTCATTACCGTTAGTTGAAGTTTTCATGTAGTGAAAGTAATTGTTAATAATCAACAACCGCGAAGATTTTGGCGTTGTTATCTAGAAGTTTTAGGTTTCATAATTTAGTTTAACAATAATTTTATTCAAAACTTGGTGGTAGTGATGGTAGTTGATAAAAAGCTATTCATAATTGTGTAGAATCCTAGTTTAGCAACAATACCTTTTCTTGAAAGATAGATCTCAGTTTAAAAGTGAGACATACATTTTTCAGAATCATTTTGGATCAAACAAATTTCTGAATAATTTTATTATTGTTTCAAGTTAAGCTGCACAATCATTCATTACAAATGTGCTGAATATTCTCTCTTCACTGTTCAAGTCTTGTAGCTGAATCAAATTGTGATTGGTTCAGATTTCCATTATCTAAAAGAATTTAAGAGATTTGAAAGGTAGGAATAGAGAAACAATAGACAAGGAAAACACCTAAAAAGAATTCTGCCCTTTAGGTGACTAAGCTTTTACCTGTATTGTCAACTACATTTGATATGCAATAAATCCCTAATTAATGGATCATCTTATTTTTTTGTGTATTCACTCTCAATTTTCATTGTACAATCCTTTGGTAGGTGGAATTCAATTTGAAGTGTTGAAGTCACATTATGATTCATTTAGAAATATCACATAGATATTGTGTTCTTTAATTATTTTCTATAGTGTAGGTTTGAAAGTTGCAGAACACATTATATTTACTTTGTTTAAAGTGAGTTTTATAGGCATTCTTATACATTGTTATTTCTTTGTTACCTTTTCGACCATCATCATTTAATTTGTAATACATCATATTTCAGTATTAAACTTCATTCCATATTTTTCATTAATATATTTATATTTGTTCATCTAATGTTTCATTTATACCTTTACAGCAGGGCTTTTGTATGTTCTGGTCCACTATTAATATAGTAAGTCAATGACCAGGTGTGCTAAAGAGTTAGAATCACCAATGCTCAGAATGCTGGTTCGAACAAACCCATTTGGAAAATTCTCAACTTCTATTTTGACTCTTGTTAGGTACTTGGGTGAGTTTTATGGTATTCAGAAATGAACTACAATTCAACCTTCAGTAAGCGCCCCAGAGTGACAGTTGATAATAGCTACCCTTCCCATAAAATGGTTTGCTTTCTGGGCACACTCATCAAGGTCTTCAGTAAAAAACTGGAATATTATACCATGATTTTTGGTATCAGTGAAAAACAAACTATTTCATGAAGTTCATCTAAAGGTCAAAAATGTCTGTTTTGATTACAAGTGTCTTATTCTTACCTAGTTTGACTGCATCATCATATAAATCGTCAAACTCGGATAACTCGGGTGGAAATTTTCATAATTTATGAAAAATGGAAAATAAAACTTTTTCTCATTTTTCATGATTTCCTACCACGTAGTAACGGCTACATCTATCATTTAATTTAATTTCACCAAATCATATAAATCATCAAACTCAGATAAATCAGGTGGAAGTTTTCATAATTTAATTCCAAAGTATTTTGAAAGATTCTGAATCTTGGAGGCATAAAGGAGAAAAAACAACTGAATAAGACAAAAATACACAAGAAGAGAATTTTAATCACGTTTGTGACATTTGTTCCGTTCAAAATTGAAAACTAAAATAATAACAAGCTATTTTACCTCCGGAGT